CACCACCACAGTCACACCACCACCACCACCACCACCACCACCACTGACGACAACAAGGACAACAACAGCAGCAGCCGTCACCACCACGACCCATCAGTACCAGCACCAATACCACTACAACTTCCACTACGACAACGGCGACGACGACTTCTCCAGCAGCAGCAACAGCAACAGCCACAAACATCAAACAAAAACAAACAGCAAACAGCCGAGAACGAGCAACACACAACAAAGAACAAGCAATGAGCAACTAACAGCTAGCATCAGGAGCTCCAACCAACCAACCAAGCAGCCAAGCAATCAAGTAACCAAGCAACTAAGCAACCAAGCAACCAACGAACCCACCAACCCACTGACCAACCAGCCAACCAGCCAGCCAGCTAGCCAACGAAGCAACCAACCAACATCAACCAGCGCAACCAACCAACCAGGTACCCACCCACCCACCCACCAACCCACCCCAGCCAACCAGCCAACCAGCCAACCAGCCCACCAACACCCACCAACACCCACCAACACCAACCAACACCCACCAACACCTACCAACACCAAGCAACACCAACCAACACCCACCAACACCCACCAACACCAACCAACATCAACCAAGCCGCAACCAACCAACCAACCAACCAACCAGGTAACCCACCCGCCCACCCACCCACGCACCAACCAACCAACCAACCACCATGACAGTAACTACTACTGCCACTACCACCTCTGCTACTACTAGTGCTGCTAAGTTACTACTACCACTACTACTGCTGCTCCTGCTGCTAGTGCTACTACTGCTGCTACCACCACCACCACCACCACTACTACCACTACTACCACTACTACCACTACCACTACCACTACCACTACCACTACCCCTGCCGCTGCTCCTGCTACTACTACTACTACTACTACTACTACTTACTACTATTAGTACTACTAGTACTACTAGTACTACTAGTACTACTAGTACTACTACTACGACGACTACAGCAAGATCAGAACAAAAGCAAGAACACTCACATTGTTATCTTGTCACTGGTTCTATAATCACGAACTTGACGGGTTCCTGTGCCTGAGGTCTCCGATTTGGACCGAGACTCCGCTGGGTTTTCCCAAGGGCTGTCTTCCTGCGACACCATCTTGGCGTCTGGCTTTTGCGGTGGTTCACCTCAGTGACTCAGTGTGGTACTCGTGGGTTGCTTCACGGCTCTCGCGCATCTACGACCTTGGGCGGCTTGATGCATAACGTCTTGTGGATCATCCAATTGAAGCGACTGCTGCTAAGTTGCCTTGGCCAAGGTGGTTCATTCGCATCAGAGCCCGCAGCTTAGCGTCCAACTGCTTGACATCAGAATGCAAAGCAAAGGTATCGATAGCCCTTGCAGGTCCTTTGCACCGCATGATCCCGTTGATGAACTCCTCTAAAGTCACCATGCCATCTCCGTTATCAAGGAGATTAAACAAGGCGGCGCTTTCTTGTACATCGATTTCCAACGTTGAAAAATATGCTTTGACTTTCTTGTCTTCCAGTATCTCCTCCAAGCGCTTCTCCGTCAATACATTTTTGTCCTGCCCATCTTGCTCGATAATAGCGTGGAAAACATTTGCTAGTCGTTCGACGTACATGTCCCTCTTGCGCATGCGGTCGAGAACAAGATGCTGAGCATCATTGTTAGCCTCGTCCAGCGTGTCCTTCGACAAAAGGGGCGGCGGTGACTTAAACACATGCCTTAACCCTTTGCTACCAGCTTGAGCTAAAGTGTTCCTTGCCCATCCTACAACATGCCTTCTTGTATTATTGCAGTCTTGCACCCAGTATCGCGACTACACAACATCTCTTTCTGCCAGGAGCCGTGCCTTCAAGAAGATCGCTGATATCACACGTATAACTGCGAATACAATAACTGTTATATATAGCAGATAGAAGATGACGAAGGCGTGACTGACCTTGTCCAAGATTGGCCGCACATTTGTGGGCCAATTTCCTGTGGAAACTTTGGTTTTGTCAGTCGCGAGATGGAGGCGGTTCACCATAGGGGTATTACTTGGGATGTCCATGCGCACATCGAACTAACTATGTAGGACTGAAGCGAGCGAACAATCTCTGGCGCCTGCGAAGGTGATTTCGTACAGTGTATACGTCGCCCGATAAGTCGTTCCATATCGTTCCCATACCCATTGCCTGTCGACCATGCTTTGTGCTCCATCTCTGATGTAATCCTGTAGTAGATTGCCCAGAATCAAGGCGCCCATGCACATGAACACTGCAAGGAGAAGCATTGACCAGCAAAGGGATGGTAAGCAACACTGGCAAGCCTGCGCTGCAAACGTTGAGGGCAGAGGTCTGGCTCGACAATAACATCATTGACTGTTTCGTTCTACAACCATCTCTAGCTGCTCTCCCCCGCTGAATCCTGAAAAACCCTTCACGCCTACAAAACATCCGTGATTTGCATGATTGGGACCGCATGCCTCCTAAAGATTGGGTTCACTTCGTGACATGATGGGGCTTGGAGAAACTAAGCCTTTAAGCTAGCGACAGCGAATACTGCGGGCGGAGTAGCACGTCTGCACGTGTTGCGAGATCTTGAAGAAAATCATTTGTGTTGTTTTGCTGAGGTGCCGTGGGGTTCGGGCGCTACAAGACGTCAGAACGCCAACAGCAAGGCCACATGAGCTCGAAAGCATAAACATGCGGAGGCAACCGCAGCCCTTTCGAATCGCCAGCTAGGCCTCTAGGCTTCGCACAACACCTAAACTCCCATCGGCCAGGAGGCTTTGACAAGCATGCGAAGTCCTGGCGAAAACCGGAAGCTCCGAACCATGCGAATGGCGCGGAAGGCTTTGAGGGCGGACACGAAGCGGAGGGTAACCATGTCTTGCGCATTCGGGTCACCTCCATGCGTGAAAAAAAACGATGGTTTGAAAACAAGAAAATATATCTTCAGTAGTGGCATCAACAGCAGTATCTCAGTAGCTGTATCAACCGCACTGGCATTCGCAGCAGCAGTCAGTAGCAGTAGCAACAGCAGCTGCAGTAGTAGTGGCAGTGGCAGTTGCAGTAGCAGCAGCAGTAGCAGTAGCAGTAGCAGTAGCAGTAGCAGCAGCACTAGCAGCAGTAGTAGCAGCAGCAGTCGTCGTCGTCGTCGTAGTCGTAGCCGCAATTGAATTCGTAGTTGCAGTGGTCGTGGTAGTCGTTGTAGGAGTAAAGCAGTACTCGTCGTCGTCGTAGTGGTAGTGGTAGTGGTAGTGGCAGTAGGTCTAGCAGGTGCTGTTGGCATCCTGCTACTGCCACTGCCACCGCTACTGCTATGCTACTGCTAGTCCGACGCCTCCTCCTACTGCTACTCCTCCTACTGCTGCTACTACTACTACTACTACCACCACTACTACGCCGACTAGTACTGAACTGCTCCTGCTGCTGCTACAACGACGACGATTACCACTACTACCTACTAATGACGATGACGGCTGCTGCACTGCTGCTGATAATGCACAGTCAACCTCCGACTACTTCCAATGCTGCTAGTTTACCCCAGCTGCGACTTGAGGTTCTGGACACGATGAATGATGAGCTTTCTGCTGGTTTCCTTGCAATCCTTTCGCCTCTCACGGCTGGGCACTGTTAAGGCATGGCCTCCTCCCATGGCTTGGGAGCTGAGCACAAGGTCGAACATACCCCCGGCGACCAAAATGAAGTCCAGCCAATTGGCGATGTCCTGCCCCGTGGCTTCGCTCTTCGCTCCGGCCACGGCAGGGTCGCGCTTGAAACCAATCACACTCAATGCTGTCCACGCTGTTTTTGCTGACTAAGCAAACTCACGCATGCAACACACCCAAACAACTGGTCTCGGCGTGTGTTTGCAAGCTGGGCAAACGTCGTTGTGACTTGAGCGACCACCGTTTGATCTCTGCTTTTTTGGTTGTCCTAGTTTGCATCCACTGTTGTGCACCGCTCATTGGGACGGCATGGCAAGTGACGTATCTCCTGATTTGCACAACTGGAATCCGAACTGCCTTCACCCATCAACAACATAAACGCCAAGAAACTGACCGACCATTCGGGTTGTTACTGCGATAGCAAGCGAAAGTAAAGGTTTGTATACTGTATGCGTGCATATGCGTACATGCCCCCGCCGTGTGGCTACGCTGAAAGCAACGTGGCCATGCGCCAGTCGTCCTTTAGGAAAAGACACCTCTCCAACCCGATCCGGATCAGGAGCTCCACCAAGAAGACGAAGACAAAACTTGGTTCCAAAGCTGCGATTTTGGTCACAGCGTCTCTGCCATCTAGTCTTGCTGCTGCGAACCCAATTCATCCAAAGTGTGCAGGCAAGGCACATTGTGTCTAGGGCAGAAAATATTGGCATCATGCTCTCAAAGCTCTCCCCTTCAGGAAGACCCAACTCCAGAGCCAGCTGCCTCCCCTCAAGCTCTAGTTGTACCATGAGCAGGATGGAGTTCAAGAGGACGAGGCCTCCAGCCACGTGGTCCAAATAGTGCCGGAACTTCTGCAATGCCAACTGACTGCTCGATGGCTTTTTGCTTTGGATCTCTGCGCCTTGGAGCAGATCGTTCATAGTACCCTTTCCTGAGCTGCATGCTGGCAAGGGCAACTGCCCAACCGCTGTCACTCGCAATTTCAGGAGACACATCTCCTGCTGAATTTCCTGAGCGCTACAATCCCTGTACTGTCCCTGATGTGTACAGGCATCTGTCGGGCATCCGTCACACACACACACACTGCCGCCACGATTCTTTGTTTAGACGACTTGGAGCCACTGGTACCTTTGCGCCCCTTGCTGCGATGGTGCTTTTTCTTCCCATCCTTGCAAGTTTTGAGGATTTGACGAGTGCTGATATGAGGAGTCTTCGGGACGCCGCTAGTAACCCAGCAGCAGTAGCGGAAAGCAGCAGGATGAGTAGTCGTCATCGCATTCGTTATGATCGCCGTCATCGTCGTTGTGCCAGTCGCCGCGCAAACAGCGGTAGAAGCAAGCAGCATCAGTAGAAAACAAGGACATTGAAGTCGTGTTTGTTGTCGTCCTTGTTTGCTTCTGCAGCCGTTGCAGAGGTGGTAGCATGCGATCCTTGATGGTATTTGTTAGCGTGGCTTCTTTCAAGCATGATGATGACGATGGTGGTGGTGGTGGTGGTGATGATGATATTGTTGTCATTGTCGCCTTATCGTCACCGAACCTGCCATCACTGTTGGTGGGAGTTGCCGCTCCTTGCTGTTGATGCTAGAGTGCTTGCTGTGGCTGTTGTGCGCACCTGCATATGGCCGTTCTTTGGCTAACTTTACAAACGCGCTTGCTCACTCAATGATAGCCGACAAGCCACTATTGCGGCAATAACGCTCCCTACGGGCAGCAGCAACTTTAGCATCACAGGGCTTTAAACAGAGAATCAAACTAGGTCATATGCAATCCAACTGAATGGACCAGACGACATATGCGAAAATGGATGACCCCAAATTCCTGAGTAGTAGGATGCTTGTTCTGCGAACCCCCGAAATCAGAAACCCCTGCGTGGCATAGATTTCACCATCGTAGCACCTGGGACTCGCCCGTGGTCTGCCTCGGAGATGCTGGCGGTGAAAGGTCGGAGATGACAGAGCTCCTGAGGCTTCGAGGCAGATCCGGATTGGGCATCAGCCAGGCAAGGCTTTACAGTAGTTGAAGGGTTGCGGGTCAAGAAGCACTTCTGCTCCAGTGAACACCTTCAATGTCTGAAGCCAGACCGTACTGTGGTGGGAGGCTGGCAAGCTGAACCAAAGAACAGTGGGTGACTAGACCGTAAAGCTTGCAGTCCAAAAGACTTTCAAGTCTGAGAGACACGCGAACTCTGTACCCTCCATGGCGGTGCATTCCCAAACTGTGTACAGGCATAATACGTGTTGGGTTTTAGCATTTATTGTAATCATTGCCACGGTAATTCCATTATGATTATTCTTGCTTCCTATTGCCAATGCTATTGCTCTTCTTAGTCTTCTGCATCTTATATGATTTGCGGTGTTCCGATTATTCTTATTTTGATCTTGTTATTGATACTACTGCAGCTGTGGTTATTATTGCTAGTGGATTGTTGTTATTAGTATTGTTACAAGAAGTACAGAACTTGTCGTAGCATCACGTTCATTTTAATTCACATTCATCACTGCTCCACTGTCTGAAAAGAGCGACATACCTAGGGGAGAGGCAAATGATCGTGTGTACATACATGCCAAATATATAATACTGTGTCAAGGCACAATTCGGCCATGTAACAACAAACACTGGTATTCATGTAATTACAGGCAGCAGCATAGTCATGACAGTCATGATTATGGCTAGGTGTTGCAAAAGGTTCAGGGGCAAAGTCTGCCCTTTATTTTACGTTTCGCTGCGGCCGTACGATTGTTTCTGCTCCGGCGAGCAGCAACACGCCTTATCCGTCAGCGCTGGTCAAAACTGCACCATATGCCCAAATACCGACCTTAAGTAAGAGTGCATATACCAAACTCATGCGATTTGCTTCGGGCACATAACCATGCACCGGTTCCAAAGAGCGGATTCGTGTCTGTCAACTGCTTGCTGATCTTTCGGACGGAATCCAAACAATCATGTTCACTCCTAAGTGCTGGAAACTTGTGCTGAAATTTTGGTAGTATATCCCTCGTCGGAGCCACCTGGTCGCAGTATAAGCACTTTGGAATTAGTGACATTGTCTTCGGCTATCACCGATGCCAAACTGGATAGGGTTCAAGTAAATGCATGTAGGCACGGATACCAAACCATCAAGTTTCCCCCGACGGACCCCTTGTCATGACAAGTCCCTGGAAGGTTGGTGGGTGTGAGTGCGACATGCTCCTGTACGACGACGCGACAACTACTGCTACGACGACTAATAACTTCTGCTACTACTCCTTCCTGCTTCAGCTGCTGTGAGTGCTGCTGCTACGGCTACTTCTATCTACTGCTCTACTACTGCTGCTGCTGCTATCAACCACTACTACTATTACGACATCTACTACTACGACGACGACTACGACGACGAGCTACCTACTACCAACTACTCACTACTTACCACCTGGTAAGCACGACGTACTAGCTACTTCCACATCTGCTGCTGCTTCTGCTGCTGCTACTACTAGTTCTTCTACTGCTACTGCTACCACGAAAACAAACAAAAAAAACTACTAAGTAGTACCTGTGCTGTGGTACCGGCACTAGTGCCACTGCCGCCTACTAATGTACGCCTTTGATTAATAAATGGGGTGGGATTAATAAAATAATTATTCGGGCCCGTTCTGCCGATCGCCTTCTGGGAAGACTACAAGCCTGC